GGTCTCCAACTCTATGGCCAGTCCCAATCTGTTGCTTGGACATCCAATCCTGCACAGAACAGATAGAAGAAGAAAAGATAACATCAAAACCGGAGGCATCAAGCTAATTGATAGATAATAAACTGACAGATAACTGAGGAACATAAAGGACAGATGGAATACAGGCAGTAGACATAGCAAACGGTAAGACAGACCCAACAGATATAACAGACATACCAGACCCATTACCAGTATTAACGGTAATAGGAAAGTGAGGGGGAGTATAATTTTGAAGTAAGAAGAAATGGGGAGTCATATGATGAAAAGCACTAGAGTCAAGAATCTAGACGAAGAGATACCTGAAGAAGACTCAAGCAAACCTGAATGAAGAGAGGAAACAATGGAGGCAGACGGGATATGGTGAAGCTGATTAATCTAAGCACTCAGGGAAGCCAAGTTAGGATCAAGGGCCGGAGCAGATGCGATAGAACTGGCAGGAGTCTGAAAAGTACTCCGAAAATGAGCGCGGAATTGAATCTGAGATTGTTGAAAAGACAAGACAGACATACATCCCTTCTTGGGACAGTAATACTTCCAATGACTCCTCTGATGGCAGAAGGCACACTCATCTGAAACCAGTGACCTGTTTTTGAGCCTAGCAATCTTATCATCCGGCATTGTAATGAACCAACAAAAGAAGAAAATTGATAGGGGCAGATTATAATAAACAGAAAACTTTAGGGGTTTTCGTGTAATAAATCTGAAATAGGGTGTCAAGTGTAATACCCAGGCAGAGTTTGAGAACAGTACTGAGAACCACCAAATCAAATCGAGAACCAGAGAGAGACTAATGATCGCAATCAGAGAGAGAAACAGGGGTCAAGAAGAACTCTCACAATCGCAATCAGAATTGAAAGAGAAGACCAGCAATCGTCGGCAAAAGATAAGGAGCTTCAAAGCTTCGATTGAGCCTTCGATCGAATCAAGTGAGTCACGAATCAGATGAATCAAACCCAGACGAACTAGATGATCGATGAAGCAAGGAGCTTCGACCGACAACCAGGTCTAAGAGAGAGAGAGAGATCACGAACCAAATTGAGCCAAGGAGAAGACTCACGATTGACAATCGATGAAGCAAAGAGCTTTGATCAACAACCACGTCTGAGAGAATGAGAGAGATCGACAGCGCTAGGGTTTCTTAACTTGCTCTGATACCATGTAAGATTCCTGAAAACTTTTCTGTATATTCAATTGTATCAGTATTTACAATCAGACCTTAGATTATATAGCCCTAACTTCTAAACCAAAAAGGAAAATACAATCATGCCTCTAATAGGAAAATATATAATCTCGCGCCTCTAATATGTACAACCACAATTATGTCTAATTTAGAGTATATATACATAATATATTCTCACATTATCACCCCAAAGAATAAATAAAATGGTTAAAAAAAGGTGAAACTTCAATAAAAAATAGCAGTCTTGGGTTCAACCACAATGAAAAAAACACAGTAGATATGATGTGGAGAAACACTTGGACGATATCATAGAGAGTTTGAAACACACAGGAGAAGACCAAAGGGAAGTCCAAAGCACTACCAGACCACGGAAGAAGCCTAAAGATACCTAAAAGGGTGTCGATTTGAACCGAAAAACCCTAGGAAGGTGTCGGCTGGAGCCGAAAACCACCTAGAGAAGTGTCGAAAGCGCGCAACAAGCCCTAAACAGCAGTTAGAGGCCTTTTGTTGGAGCCAACAGGGTCTGGAACAGGTTGGGTAGTGACGGGTGGTGGTCGGGTGGTGTATTGATGGTGGCTGGTGGCTGGTGGTTGTGTGAGTGATGGGTTTAGGGTTTTGGCTCTAATACCATGTTTGTTTGAGAGAAAACTAACTCAGAGAATGATTAGAAAATCACCCCCTTTTATATTGATAATAGGTAGCTTACAATGGAAGCCTTGGACACAAATAAGGAAATAAAAGAATAAGGAAATAACAGCTAATAGAATAAGAAATTCCTAAGGCACAAATTAAGGAATCAAAATATAGCCTAAATAAGGAAACAAATAATTGAATGATCCTAACATATATTCTAACAGTTGGGATATGAATTTCAGAGCTTAAGTGTGTGTGTGTGTGTGTGAGAGAGAGAGAGAGAGAGGGAGGGAGTTTTGTTATAAAATTCTTGGTTATCGCCAAAAAGGAGGAGAGGGGGTATATATATAGCCTTAGGAGGCTTGGAGGGCAACTATGTACACATTAGGTCGAAAACCTAATATGTATATACACAGTCTCGCTACACAATACAGTCTCAGTACCAAAATAGGAAACAAAATCTTCCAAAAATCAAAATTGTGCACACTGTTAGGCATTGCGTCCGTACATCCCGCACCTGCGTCTACACATAGAATGTGCAACCATAATCCCGTAATGCGGCCACAGGTGTGGACCTGCGGTTTGATGAAGGATATACAGCCACACTTTGCTAACCAGTGGGTGCCATGATGCTTCAGTCAACAATTTTGACTTTCAGACGATTTTGTTATCTTTATGTATCCAATTAACTTCAAATCGACATTTTCAATCCTAAAATAAGTCTTTCTTCAGAGATTGACAATCCGAAGTTGACCGAGCATATATTATGTCTCCTTTTGGAAAGATGTTTGAAAATGCAATTTTGATCAAATAAAATGGTTTTTTGAGAGAAATGGACTTAAGGGATGAAAAATGGTCTAGCAGGCTCAACAGTGGCCCAAACATACCAAAGCATTGGAAGTATAATAGTTTCATCATCAGGGAGCATCCAAATACCTAAGTCTTAGGGCTAGTAAAAATAGGATGTCTACACTTAGGTTAATTAGTTTCCGGCGGCGGCTAATTAAAATTTGAAATCGGGGCGTGACAAAGCTATTGTGAATGCCATGAAATTAGTTCAAATATCCAAGCAACAGCTCCAAATGACGAGGGTAGTGGGTGGAGTTCATTAATGGATGAAGTACCCTCATTCTATAATGTTCCTAATATGGGTGACATGTATGGTAATGTGAAGGAGATCAAAGGGCTCAAGAATTGAAAACCTCTTATGACCACCTCCTTGAGTGATTCTATATTGCATAGATATGCAACTACTAGAGCTAAATAATCCACCTTGTGTGAAATAAGCAATCACACACATAAGAGACAAAGATTTATAATGAGAAAACCCCATCAAAAAGTGAAGCTAAAAATTTCGTAGTGCTTCAATCCACTAACTAGCAAATCAAGTATACATATGCACTAGATCCAGACAAAGATCCTACCTACTCAAATCTCATAAGCAGTTCTGTAGTTCCAATCTTCAACAATCTATTCCACTCTTCCTTGAAACTCTTGAGGTCTGCTATTCCTGCTAGCATCCCATAATCACAAATTCATACGAACATGATCCTCAACACCAAGCCACAGATGCATCTACATGCATAAATCTATATGAATGTAAAGCTTATCAAAGGAACCAATTCTTACTCTCATTTACTATAGATTTTAACCACTGAATCACCAATAACTCGATCCTCTATCAAAGATTACCAAGAACTTTGAAGGGAAGAATATGTAATATGCGCAAGAAGTTACAATCAAATGAACTTAGCACTCATTCGAACAAGGTAAGGGTGCATTCGAACGAACAAGTTACTTATGGTCAATTCATTTCAACCAACTCAAAATGGAGGTATTAAATCAATATTAAAGTCAAGTCCATTAACTAATTTAGCTTATAGTCCAAAATTAAAATATATATGGTCATGAACCCAAAAATACACAAATCCAACTATGCTAAAAAGGATAAAAAAAAAACAACCTATATGATATGAATGTAATGAATGGGTGTTTTATCTTTCAATCATAGTCTGTTGTACTATGCTTGTGTCCTTGTCTTCAATCACAGAATTGCTTAGGTGATTGAACTAAGCTTACCAAATACAAATTCTATAATTTGCAATGAAGTCACCAACAAAAAAAATGACATGGGAGTATATTTTTCCTCACAAGGGGGATTTTGAATTATTATAGATTAGGCAAAGAAGAAAGAAAGGGGTTCTTGGCACTATGATCACTTGGTTAAGTAAAATTGATGAATATCACTTTATCCCTCATCTATGAATCCGTACATTTTGAGCTCCAAACTACAAAAACCGTACATTCTCAAGATTATAGATGAAGGGGGTAAAGTGTTTCTAGGAGGGTCTTGGTGTAATTAACCCTATTAAAAAAATATAATACTAATTGCACCCTTAAACAAATAGGCAAAGTAATAATGTTATGCTAAAATCTATTTTTTGTAAAAACTATTAATTATTTCCTTATCCTATTTGAATATATATATAAACTTTTTTTTTTTTTTTTTTTTTTTTTTTTTTTTTTTTTTTTTTTTTTTTTTAAAGATTAGTAAGTTGAGGTGCCTTGAACTACAGACTCTTCATTGGGGGAACAAGGCCTAAGCCGCTGTCCCCTAGCGATCCTTATTTCAGTATATATGCTTTGTTTTAACTTGTATTATACCTACCTAAAAAAGATTAACTTGTATTACAATGTGTTAGAATGGTTAGATGTTATTATGTTATCATTTTATTACTTGAGGGTGCTATGGTCATATTGTAATGTGTCTTCATATAAATATATGCTGCCGGTGTAGGGTTGATTAATAACTCTAACGTTGTGTTTGGTTGGAGGATTTGAAGAGGGATCTGGAAAGGGAAAGGGAAAAGTTGGGTGAAATGTGAATAAAAGATACCTACAGTTCACCTAGTTTCACACACATTTTCCCTTTCCCTTTCCAAATCCTTCCCCAAATCCCTCAACCAAACACAGCATAACTATTCTAACACAATGCATAAGCTTATTAAAAGAAGAGAGACTGACAAATGAATAAAAAAATTATACATATATATATGTATCAAAATGCAATATTTTTCTTATGTCAGTTGAGTTAAATAAACATTCTCAAATGCTAGCTGAGACCTTCATGATACTGGCTGGCCTTCAGGTAATTGGCAAGATGAGGGCACTAATGGCAGAAGAATCAATTAGTATGCCAAATAACTCCTTCTTGCTTGATGTGGACTCAAGGTAATCAACTTAAAATTAGAGAATAAACGGACATTAACGACAACACCAACTTTTACTAATAAAATTGCAATTTTACAGCATACCTTTCTCAATGGAAGAGATGTCCTGGTCCTTCAACATCAACATATCCGATGTGGATCCACCACCGCTCCTCCGCCAGAGATCTGATTTTCATTTCCTGTGGCAGCCAACGGATTGAAATTTCACCTTTTCTATTCTAAATTTTACACAGAAAGAGAAAGGAAAATGTTACTGTAATTAAATTATTGCAATTCCCATTTTGTTCTTTTGAGTGAGAGGGTGAGTAAAAGAGTGCTCAAAATGTAATTTTTTTCTATTTCCTTTTTTCTGAAGTACACCCAGTTTAGTCTTCATTAGATTGGGTCTGTGAGGTGTAGAGTGGGCTGTTAAAGTGATTGTAGTGGAAAGAAGAATAATTATTGAAGTTCAATTGAAGTGAGACGAAAATTTTTGCTCTTGTATTTCTCTGGGTACTTTGGATGAGTTGACAAGACCATTTTTATTTCTCTCTTTTTTCTGATCTGCCTCTGAATGGTTGACTGTCCAGAATATCACCTCAGAAATTTATAAACAGAGTTGAAAGACAGACAAGGAGACCTGCACAAAGTGTTAAAAGCATATAACTCTAAAGACCGATTGGACTTCAGGTGGCCTAATGGAATACCTAGCAATACTAAACTTTAGACTTCTTAATAGATTTTTTCCCTTTTATCATTTCCTTCGGTAAAATATTATTTTGGAAAAGTCATTCATATTTACCTGTTTTTCTATTCTCTAATTCTCCTTCAAAAATAGACTCATTCTTGAATAATACTCATTGCATAGTAGTAATATTAATAACGTATTCTGGAATGAAGCCAACAGCTTGTCATCCACATTGGACACATAATATTTTGACTTCTAACAAAACGTAAAACAAGATATGTCCACTCAAAGGACTCAGAGTTGAACACAAAGAATAGTTGTTATTAGCCACTCATTTTTTGGCATCCTGAAATTGACTTCCCACATATAATTGAATTTCCTTGCACTTTAAATGACAGACCATATTCAAAATAACATATGACTGCATAACAAATAAATAATAAACAGACAAGAAATCCCTGAGTACAGTGTGACACATAGCATCATAAGCAAGCAAGCTATAATTCAAGTTTTGTAGGTTCTTTGCACCACAAAATTTTGATCACTTCTTCACTAAAGCATTTATAAAATTGAATTGGCTTGCAACACCAAATTGCTCTAATCAAGTTGACCAATCCATAAGCCTATAACGTTCTAGATGCAATGATAACTAGTTTGATGCAGCTTCTCAAAGCTTACCTACAATAGTTAGAGACTTTATTTGCCATTTTAATTAAAGCAACCAAAAAAAAACACACATAAATACCATGCCATGCAACGGCAAGAACAGTTTTAAATCCTGTGAACAAAGAACAGGAGAAAATCAGGTCCCTTATTTTTAGGTTATTCATTTAATTTAGACATAGACCAATCTACTTGGTTCAGTCATTTAGTTTAGATTTAAGCCAGTCAGATGGAGCTTGCATAATATTATTCCAAATGCACAAAAAATGTCCAAACATTTACATAGTGGTTTTAATAATTTTTACCTTTTTTCAATAAGTATGCACATAAAACAAAGAAGGCAGTTATCCAGTGTTGTTCCTGCCAACTCCAGATACTGGGAGTGGTACACTTTGTCAAGACCTAACCATTGGTATTATTGCACAAAGCAGCTGCCCTAAACACAAACCCACATTCTGACGCTTGACAGCCTGACTTTTTACCAGTGCACCAAACCAAAATTATGTCATGGTTAGTGTTTGTGGATGTCTAGTGCCAAGAACCAAATTAACAAGCAAGAATAGACAAGACTTGACATCTTGTAAATATACTCAATGAGGGTTGAATAGGACAATTGTCTATTTTTACTAATTAATTCAATTTATATTTTTATGTCACCTCTACTATCTTATGTTGAGCTTTATAAATTTGTATGCAATTAAGTAATTTTCAAAGTGTCAATTCAAATATTTAAGCAAAAATATTGCAACAAAAACAGTAGAAAACCAACCCATGACAAGTTCCTGGTGGCCATTAATAATCAAAATTTTGAAAGTAAACCAACTGGGGCAAGCTCAATTGACTAGAACCCTTGCACCTCACTATGACGTCAAGGGGGTCAAACCTTGCCATAGGCAAGACTTTCCCCTCCCCCAGCCTATAGCCTCCAATGTAGGGATGGCAATTGGAACCCGACCCGACGGAAACCCGATCCCCCGATTTCGAATTGAGTGGTTATTTCCCGAAAAATACCTCCGACGGCCCGGGGATGATTTTAAAAACTAAATCTCCGATGATATTCGGGCCGGGGACGGTGATACATGTTTCAGCACCGGACCCGATCCCTGCCCCGGTTGCCCCCGATGTAAAATTACTATTTTTTCCCTCTTATATATAATATATGTGTGAGTGTGTGTAGGGTTTAGGCTGTTGGCAGACGAACACCCACACACAACCATCTTCTCCCTCTCTCTCTCACACACACAACCTTCGTTCCTCACCGCCTCTCCTTCACCGTTTTGGTCGGCAACGGCTCCTCCCTCACCGCCGCTCCTCGCCTTAGCTCCTACTCTCTCCTTCACTGGCGGCTTCTTCTTCTCTCCCTCTCACGCTGTCGTCTCTCTCTCATGGTATCTCCTCTTCTCTCTCTCTCTCTCTCTCTCTCCCTCCCTGGTTTGGTCGGCGACGGCTCCTCCCTCACCGTCGTTCCTCACCACAGCTCCTCCTCTCTCCCTCTCACGGTATCTCCTCCTCTCTCTCTCTCTCTCTGTTTTTTTGATTTTGTTCTCTGTTTTTTTATTTTGTTTCAGATCTGAAAATGATGAAGATGAACATGTTGATCTGTGTTGATGAAGGTTTTTGATTTTTTGATCTGTGTTTGATTTTTTGATCTATTTGTTGATGAACATGTTGATCAAGGTTTTTGATTTTTTGATCTGTGTTAGATCTGTTTGTTGATCTATTGTTGAAAATCTCTCTCTCTCTGTTTGTTGATGAACATGTTGATCAAGGTTTTGAATTTTTTGGTCGGGGAATTTTGGGGTCAGGAAACCCGATCCCAATTAGGGGCCGGGGACGGGGGCGGTGGCGGTTATGGATTCCTCGTCGGGAATCTGGGCCGGGAACGGGGCTATTTCCACCATCGGAGATCAAGAACGGGGAGTGTGATCCCCGGCCCCGTCCCGTCCCGTCCCGTTGCCATTCCTACTCCAATGTAACCCAAAAGAAAACAATTTGAAAGTGACGTGAGGATAAGATATTCACCATAATTCTTGCTCCCAAACCAAATAGTGTTGATGCTAAAATAAACATTGTTTGGCTTGAAGCTAGAGTATAAATGTTTGTCCATTGATCTAGATTAAAAAATTAAATAACATTTAACCAGGGAAGAGATGAATGCATAGTTGTGTATAATATATTATTAGCAATTTAGGGACATCAGTTACCATATCAAGTATGTATGCTTTGATTATTCAAAATCCACCAATGGGAGGTTAAAGCGTTCATTTGCTCAGGTAATAATTGATTTTGCTATCCTGTTCCTCACTTTTTTCCTTGACTAGAGTATCAGCAATGTCAAATCAAATCTATTAGATGCGACGTGACGCATAGATTCCATAACACCTTCATATTTCTTATGCCTAGGAAACGGACACAGAATTGGTTTCTCAACAATATCAGTGTCAACATCACAAATCTGCCTTTTCAGCTATGTTACACACATTCTTCAAAATAAATCAAATATCCATGTCAACACTTGAATAAGGGTGTAGGATATGTGTTTAATACTTTTCATAGGACACTTCTTATATATTTGTATTTAACACCATCATTGTACATATATGTATATATATGTGTTGTATAATTAATGTAAAATAAGTAAAATGCATTTTTGACATTGTACATTACTTATAACACCATTTTATATCACATAATATATTAAATTTAAAATTTTAAAAAAAATATACGAGATTTTTTTGCTGAGTCCACGTACTCTTAAATTTGAGATTTGATGGATCTGACCTTCAAATACCCGACACCCATACACAATTCCATGTAACATAGCTTTTCAGGACAGCAGTGTGCCTCCCACTCTTTGCAACTAGATTATATTATATCCCTTGAAATAGGACAAAAGAAACAGTTGTATTCAATAATTGAAAAAAAAAAATTAAAAAAAACTCTTCTACAGACAAGACTAGATATCAATAAAAAAAAAGCTTATACACTTTCCTCCCCATCTGGCAAAAACAAAAAATTAGAGTACTGATTTTGTAACACATGAAGCATAAACTCTTCTACATATAACATTTTTGGAATAATGAAACGAAATATAAAATAATATTAGAAATAGCCGAAAAATCAGATAATTGGATAATTGCTAATTAGAAGAAATAAATAATAGTATAATAGAAATAAAAGAAGACCTATATAAGCAACTATAATTAATCAGTTTAAGATAAATATACCAATTATAAAAACACACGTGCAAAGAATAATTAAGTTAACAATAAATTAAAATCTGAGTTATCACAATTTTATATAACATTTAGGCTTATATTCTATTTTTATATTATCTTCAAGACTAAATTGATTTGAATTTAATATTTTTAGAACTTAACTGACAAAATTGAAACTTTTGGAACTTAAATAAAAAAGGTGTTAAACTTTAGGACTATTATTATAATTTATCCTAATTTTTATTGCTAGTTATTGAATTGCGCACACACATCACAAGTGCCAACAGTTAATATGATTTATACATGGAATTGAAACTAGTGAATCGATTTGCTTCCATGACATTCCAATTGAAAGCAGACTATGCAATTGTTCTCGTGATTATTATCTATAGATGGAATCGTCGTGTAAATTCAACTTTGGGCACCACTTTCTTGGGACTTTTCATTCTCTCCAAACAGCATTAACGTAATCATGTTCCAGCAACTTCCTTTGCAAGTTTCCACACCCCAATTAAAACAACTACATACGATGAGAAATGTTATTTACCTTTCGTTCACAATTTCTGTGAAGTGGTTTCGCTTTCTGGCATTCTTTGTGTTTGTTCTTCGCAACCAAACACACAGAGAGAGAGAGAGAGAGAGAGAGAGAGAGATCTCAAGGCAGATTATTTGAGCTCTATCACTTCATGAAGAATAAGCAACAAGAGAAGGGTCATTTTGCGCTTAAATTAGATAGAAACTTGCAAACCAAACAAGAGTCAAAAAAATCAACAAATAAATAAATTATATACACTTTTTAAAAATTTGCTTAAATTATATACACTTTTTAAAAATTTGCTTAAAATATAATCACTCTTGTATTTAGAAAAGGGTATGGCTTCTCTCCAGTCTGGGATCAGACTGGACCGTATTGTTGGGTCTGTGGGGGCCTATCAAGGGTTTTGTTTTGATAATCTGAATCGTTCAATGTGTAAAACTCGTCGAGTACTATATGCCTGTAAAAAATCACGTTGATCAGATATCGATAACTATGTGATCAAAACAGTTTTTTGTCAACCGTTAATTTGTTCACCGTCTAATTTTTTTAATACGAAACTGATTTGATCATATAACTATTGATATCCGATCAACATGATTTTTTTACAGGTATATAGTACTCAACGAGAGATGGATAATTTTTTAGTCATGGGCATGCTTCTTATTATATGTTTGGATCCCAAATTTGTGAGGAAAAAAAAAAAGAAGGGAAAATTAAAAAAAAAAAAAAAAACAAAACAAAACAAAACATCCCATCATGGGGGACCCACACCACTTTAGAGCTATTAGTGCTCCTTTTTTTAATGGTCTCACTCATTTTTGTTTTAAAAATTGGACAAATTACATATATCTCCCTTGAGATTTAGCTAAATTACAGATATCCCTGAGGTTTTGAAAATTACAGATACCCCCTGAGGTTTATATTTTCATAACAAATTACCCCATGAGGTTTATATTTTTATAACAATTTGTCCCATAATTTGTTATGCAAATAGTACCTTCAGGGGATATCTGTAATTTCTCAAACCTCAGGGGTATCTATAATTTTGCTAAATCTCGAGGGGCATATATAATTTGCCCATAAAAATTTGCTTAAAATATAATCACCCGTGTTTTTGAAAATTATATTCCATCTCGACATTTTTAACTTCATAACAAATGAATTATTTTATTAATAAATTATTAACTCAATTAGTAAATTGTCAGAAATATATTTCAATTATTCATGCAATTTTATTATTACGGCAATGCTAGGGAGCTCGAAAATGAGCTCCCTCGAATCCCCCTAATTTTGTTTTTTTTTTTTCAGAAACAGAGAAGGAGGAGGAGGAGGGGGAGAGGAACTGGAGGAGGCCATAATCATAGGGGAGGAGGAGGCGGAGGCGGGGCTGCGACGGCGAGGCTGGGCTGGGCGGCGATCGGGCTGGGCTAGACGACGACGGGGACGACCATCGGGCTGGACGAAGACAACGACGACGGGGGACTGGACGAAAACGACGACGACGGGGACCTCTCTTCTCTCTTTCTCTCCCTCTCCCTCTTCCTCTCTGCGACTGAACATGGAAGAAGACGAAGAAAAAAAAATAAAAAAAAAATAATGCCCAAAACGATGTTGCTTTGGGCATTAGGGGGATTAAGGGGAGAGATTTTCGAGCTCTCAAACATTATTCTTATTATTATGTAAGAAGATAATTCTGAATTTTATTTTTTTAATTAATCATGTTAAATAAAAAATTTTGACAATAAATATTTATAATTTTTCAAATCATAATAAACAATTTATACTTTGAACAAATTGCAGAAAGTGTATTCGTAATTTATTAAAAAAAATAATAATAAGAATAAAAAAATCAATCATAACCTTTAACTATGATTGGACGATGATCTCGTAATTGAGAGTGTCAACCAACTAGCCCAATTGGTCATTGGCATTCCCTTTGTTGAAGTAAGATACGGTGAAATTTAAATTATAACATTAGTTAATTCAATTTTCATTAGCTAGTTCAATTAAAATCATACGATAAATGATTAATTACACCATTAGTTAATTCAATTAAAATTATGGCTTATTTTGTCAACTGGATTAAAAGTCAGCTTTAATTTTTTAACTTTTTTGAATCACATCACCTCTCTAGACTTTTTACACATTTTTTGGAAAAAAAAAAAATTAAAAAAAACTGACTTTTAACCTACTTTTCAACATAGATTTATATTGTGGTAGTTTCCAAAAGTAAAAGAGTCAACAACATTTATTTATACAGATATATCTATTTCTGTATATATCCCTTATGGGATTTAAACATCATTGGGGATAGTAGTCTACACCACACTAGACTTATAGTAGCAATTTTTTTAGATGAGAATAGATTATTTTATAAATTTTTAAATTTTCAAATTATAAATTTAAAAAATAAATATAGACAAGTAGGGAAATAAAATAAAATAAAAATGATGTGATAATTTATAATAATTTTTTAATTTTTTGATTAAAATACTTAATCTCCAATCGAGGCCTAAACAGGATGGAACATCCTCCATAATTTATTTTATTTTATTATTAGTTTCTGCTAGTGGCCAAAAGCCAACAGAAGGCGGAGAAAGACAAACATAAATTACCTAAGAGGACCATACATATTTGTTATGACAAGAGAGGAAACAAACACATAGGGGAAATTCTTCCATCCAGATTATCTCACCAACCACATTCAAAGCAAGCCAAGCCAACTTGTGACCCACCTGATTGTCTTCTCTATCCTACTCAAAGAACAAGACAATCTCTATCAAATCTGAGTCACAATTGCTCCAATAGTTGACAATCTCTATTCAGTCCTGTAACATCCTCCATATTAAAAAGGGATCTTGGTCTATAAATCCAATTTTGATTTTTGTATGCCCAAAGATCCACACTCTAAAACTTTTTGTCCATAAGGACAAGCTTCTTCAAGATGACCATATTGCCCTTCAAACTTTCACGCATTTTATGTCTTGAATTTCTCTCATATCTCTCAACTCAGATCTCTCTTTCTCTCTCGTCTTCATCTTCGCCACTAACTATCTCCATTTCGCCGTTGATGCCACTATTCCTTTGCCACCACAACTTTCCCGTTGATATGCCGCCACCCCGCCCTCCTCCAATATCCTTTTCTAACTTCAATCATTATTAAGAAACCCTAACACTATACCTTTGGCATTATCTGCTTCAATCTAGACCGATGATTAAGAAACTCTAACTGCCAAAGACTGTCATCATCATCGTCATATTTGATCTCTCTCCGCCAATCTTTTCCTCCTCTGTCGCCACTCTGACATGATGGTGCACGGTCACTCTCTCATTCATCTCTCTCTCTCTCTCTCTCTCTCTTTTTCCTCACCAAACTCTTCTCTGACTCATACCAACCCTGTACATTCTCATTCTCTTCCACCACCACTGCCATCACCAATCCCAACATTTCTTCTCCTCCTTCGCTGTGGACAGTGAGGCTGTCGCCGCCTCCTCTAGTGGTGGAGAGAACGAGGATTGTGGATGAGAACGGCCTCATGACCGATGATTTAGTGGTCGGAGAGTTCAATCTGAGTGTAATTGAAAGTGTCTCAAATGCGAATGCGAACACGAACGTAAGAGAAAAGGAGACCGAATGATGATGATGATTTTAGAAATAGGGCTAGGGTTAAGGTTAAGAAGTTTGGGGTGTGTGATGAGATTATGAGAGAGTGCATTCCTTATTTGGATAATGTGGATACCGTTTTGAGGTTGAATTCAACAAAGAGAATGGAGGGGTTCGAGTAACATTATCCTAAGAAAGAGAAGGTCATGAATTGTGTGATGACCGGTTCGTAATCTACCTTATCCTCTTGAGTTATGTTGGATTTGCCTTCGTTAAATGTCGAGTTTCAAAGTGTGGTTCGGCCAACAGTTGGATTCGTTCTTCCTGAGAGTTTCTTCTCAAATGTTCGGATGTACTTGTTTCAATTCCAAGTTTACACTCGTTTCGGAGGGCGCGAGGTCGACTTTGGAGTGTCGGGTGAGAAGCCAAAGTTTTTCTAGGTTGGAGGGCCAGGGCCGCACGTGCAGGGCATTAGGCTACACGTGCAGGAGGGGCCATACGTGCGGGAGATCAAGCCGCACGTGCAGGAAGTATGGGAGAGGGCTGTGTGTATACTGCATAAAAGGCAGGTGCAGAAGTGGAGGTACAGAGGAAACTGCATGTGCGGGTGTGAGAGCCGCACGTGCGGCCAGGCGCGTTTTTTGTCTCGTTTTTCGTGCATTTCAACCATGTATTGAGTTTTTGCTCCTCTTTCACTTCATTTCTAATATATACATATATATATCTACAATGTTTCTCTCTTTTTCTCTCATCTCTCTCTACCCAAACCCTCAAAACTTTGTATTTTTCCTTTGATCTCAAGAATCCATTGAGATTTTGATGCTAGTCCCTTATACCAAAATGATGAGCATATCAAGGGCTTCGTCTTGACCGGTGGAGATCAAATTTCGACGAAGTTGATTGTTGGGCTTTTCTCCTCTTTTCTCTTTAAGGTATGGATTTGTTTGATCTTTTTCAATACCTCTTTTATAGATAGACATGTGATATGTTTTTATTGCATAAAAACCATGTTGTTATGGATTTTTCGCAAATCATGATAGAGGATTTAAGATTTGGTAGTTAAGATTGAAATTTTGTGAACATGGTTGTTATTTGGGTTAAATTGGAGAGTGGTTAACATGTTTATGTGTAGAGAGAAATAAAGCCCTAATTTTGATATAATGCCTAATAGATAAAAAGGGTTGAAATTGTGAAATTATCATGTTATGAATTAAGGAATGTGATTAATGATTTGGTAAATTAAATTGAGATTGATTTGGGCCTTGTAATTTTTTTAACATTAACTTGTGTTGGGTTGTTCATAGTTGAATGTAACAAATTGGTGGCTTGTATATTGCAAAAAAGGAGTAAATCATGAGGTTAAGATTTATGGGTTATGCCCTTGTTGAGTTGAGATAAAATAGGTTGTGGCCTTGCCATTCATGAACTAAATTTTGAAGAATAAAATGAATGGGTTGGGAAGGAAGGGAAATATGTCTACTTGGAAAATAAGAGAATTGATTTTTGAAATAAAAGAAT